CCCACCCACCCACCCCGCTAACCACAACAGCCATCTAACTTTCTCCCCCTGCCTCCCTGCAAACCCAGCCCAGCTTAAGAAGTCCGCCCATCCATCCATCCGTCCACCCCGCCCGGCCCCCCCGCCCACTCAACGCTCACCTGTAATGCTGCCGTGGCAGCTAGAGTTCCTCCCCACGCTTGAGTTGTGGCCGGCGCTGGAGGTGCGGCCCATACTAGAGCTGCGCTTCAAGTGGCTGCTGCCCGGAATGATCATGGAGCCCCTCACCGAGCCGCCAGGGTCGCCGCTGGCGCTCCTGCGCCTCGTGGAGCGGTTGGAGGGGTCCGTGGACGCGAACTGGCTGAAAGCCGCACTGAGGTTGATGCCCGCTTCCGCCACCAGCACATCCCCAGAGACAATGATGTTTAGTTCGGTGACGTTGTCGCCCTCGGTAAGTAGCTGCACGCCCGGCATGAAGAGCTCCACACGCGCGACGGTGAGCAGGGCGTCCAGGAAGCGCTGCTTACAGCCCTTGAACAGGTAGCAGCTGCGTACGGGGTGCAGGTAGAGGTGACGTAGCACCTTGCGACGGATGGTGGTTGGGTAGATGCCCAGCACGTGCTCGTCGTCGATCTGCTCGGTGTTGAAGGTCACCTCCAGGTGCTCCTGCATGGCTGATTGCAGCCGCTGCACGGAGGCGTGATGATGACACAGGGCACGACACGGCACGGTAAATGGCATGACACGCGTGCGGGGGGGTATATGTGCTGGAAGGGAGGTTTAAGTGGGGCTACCGATGCCTTTAGGTGTGGCAAATTTAGCTGTGGCGCAAGTGTCCCTCCTGAGACCCCATTTTCGCCTCTCTCGCGGCTCAAAAAAATATACACCCCTACTTCTTGCCACAACCCACCTCGGGCAGGTCGTTGTTTCTACCGAACTCATTGAGGTTGCTCATGCGTTCTCGAAAGGCCTTACTGCGCTCGTCACCTTTGACCACCAGCATAGTCACCGTTCCCAGAATGTAGGCGCCAAGGAACAGATTGAACAAGCTGTAGGGGTAATCAGGGAGCGGGTCAGAGGCAAATGGAGAAGCTGCGGGCCCCAGAGCAGCAGGCAATCAGCCTCAAATTGCTAAATCGGCAGGTAGGTTTAAGTCAGGGCAGGGTAGCATCAAACAGGAGCTATTGCAATGGAAAATATTGGTTTACAACATAAATTACACAAAAACTCAACTCACAGGTAAATCACCATGAATGCCGCTTCCGGCACGGTAGATGCGAACAGTGCCGCGTCTCCTAGGCCGGTGAATGCGCTCGTACTGAAGTACAACGACAGCAGGTACTTTTCGTACACGGGCCGTCCCATGAAGCGTTCCGCATTGCGGCCCACCCAGGAGTCGTGCGAGAAGTTCTGGTGCGAGGCGATGTGGTACAGGATGCATGCAGCCCAGTGCGTGATGAAGAAGACGTAGGTGTAATTGCGCGTCAGCAGCAGAGTACCCTGGCTGAGCACCATTCGATAGTCGAGGTTCGCGAACAGCTCAAAGACGCGATACATACGCACCTGTTGTTGCTCGTACACAATGTTGTACGGGGTCGTACATGTGAACACGTGCATTAAGACGTGGGGACAGGGGTACACAAGACAGGGTTACGTCAGGGAACGAGCGCGGGGGACATGGGCAAGGCGATAGGTTGCGTGGGTGATACGGTGCGAGGTGTGCGCAGCAGAGGCGGTGTGTAGATAGGTAAGTAAGCTTTGGGTTCCTAAGTTGACCACCTGGAGCCAGGCCCTTGTGCGCGTGTGCATCCGAAACCAAAGTGATGAGCCCACCCACCCACCCACCCACCCACCCTCCAAGCTGGCGGATATCCCCGCCCAATGTTAAATCTCCCCTTCATCCTCCAACCCTCAGGTCGGGCAGCGTTTTCACCCCCTCACCATCATCCCCTTCACCCTCACCCTCAACCCCATGCCAGACCCGTCCGCCGTAGCGGTCGCCTTCGCCGCCCTGAATTACCCACCAGCGTGAGTAGCTTTATCCACGCCAGCCACACAAGCGTCCTCTCACTTGCCCCCATCGCCGCAGCCGTGTCGATGGTGATCCAGTCCAAAGGAAACCAGCCAATCAGATCCAGGTAGAACTGCCAGCTGTTGGAACCGGATAGGGACAGCACGGCAAGAGGGGAGGGCGCACCACGCCTTAGGTGCCATAGGTGCCACGCATTCATCAGC